AATACCGACTTGACCGCCATGACTGAGACGAGACCTCCGGATGTCGTATCTGAACCAGTGTTCTGTGAATCCCTATTCCGAACCCATTGATTCTATCCCCCTGGTCCATCTGTCCACCCGGGGGAGAGCCGCGACATAGGCCTATACTGTACCTCTATATATACACCTGTCTCCATACCTGCGTTGTATACCTGGCTTCATACTTGTTTGGACGCCTGGCTGTGTACCCGACTTTAGCTTCATGTTTGGGTTCGAGCCCATATAGCCGTGGGCGCCTGTCTCAAACGACAGGGGATTGTTGTAGCATCCTGCAGGTGTTGTAGCATCCTGCAGGTGTTTATACAGGTGTTGTAGTGTCGAGGACAAAGTGCCCTGGATTAGAATATAACTGGCAGCCAATGTGGAAGGGGCAAGACTAGCTAATGATACGAGAGAGAGAGAGACAGAGAGACAGAGAGACAGAGAGAGAAGAGAGAGAGAGAGAGACGAGAGAGAGAGAGAGAGAGAGAGAGAGAGAGAGAGAGAGAGAGAGAGAGAGAGAGAGAGAGAGAGACAGAGAGAGAGACGAGAGAGAGAGAGAGAGAGAGAGCGAGAGAGAGAGAGAGAGAGAGAGAGAGAGAGACGAGAGAGAGAGACAGAGAGAGAGAGAGAGAGAGAGAGAGAGAGAGAGAATGAGAGATGGACAGAGAGAGAGAGAGAGAGAGAGAGAGATAGAGAGGAGAGAGAGAGAGAGAGAGATGAGATAGAGAAGAAGATGAGCGAGAGAGAGATGAGAGAGAAGAGAGACAGAGAGAGAGAGAGAGAGAGAGAGAGAGAGAGAGGAGAGAGAGAGAGAGAGAGAGAGAGAGATGAGAGAGATGGAGAGAAGAGAGAGAAAGAGAGCACACTAACAGGGTGTTGTCTTAACAGTCAAAAACTTACGGGGGAAAGTTTGGCTAAGGAGAAAATGAGAAGTTTAGAAGAAAAATGAAAGTTTGCTGTTTTTGTGCCTTAAAACAGGAAACTCTTTTTGAAAACAGAGACGGGCGGAGGCTGATGAACGGGTCATATAGTTACCGTTGAAGTTAGCCAACAGGAAGAATTCCCGTTGTCGGTAACAGGGGAAACTTGGACTAAGGGTTAACCAGGTTCCTCTAATCTAGCAACAGACTTTTTTCCCTCCAGGATGCAGCTCAGTTGCCTATAACTCTATTTACTGCTAGGTGAACAGGTGTATCAGGTGAAAAGGGGCATATGTGCCCAACCGTTTCTGTCCCGCCCGGTAATTAAACTCGGGGTCCTTCGGTTATGAGTCGAGGACGTAGACCACTGTGATAATGATACAAGGGCATGTTCAGATTTGAACCCCACGACCTTCCCCCCCCCCCCCCCGAGCCAGATAAAGAAACCGGTTAGGTGAGATAAGGAGCCGGATTAGTTAAACCTTGCTACTGAAGCGGCCAGGATAAGGATTAGGGATGGGACGGGGGGGGAAAGGAATGGTGCTCAAAAAACTTGGACGGTCGGGGATTGAACGCCGACCTGCATGAAGCGAGACCGTCGCTCTACCGTCTAACACCACGTGGGTTTCCCCTTTGAACAAGATCCAGCCATTGTTTTACAACCAGGTCGTCTGTAGTTCCTGCTAAAGACACAGGGATGAACGGAACGCAAAATTATAACTGCTAATACGTCTCATTGAGCCCAGGGTTCGAATCCCTCTCATTGAGCCCAGGGTTCGAATCCCTCTCATTGAGCCCAGGGTTCGAATCCCTCTCATTGAGCCCAGGGTTCGAATCCCTCTCATTGAGCCCAGGGTTCGAATCCCTCTCATTGAGCCCAGGGTTCGAATCCCTCTCATTGAGCCCAGGGTTCGAATCCCTCTCATTGAGCCAGTGTTCGAATCCCTCTCATTGAGCCCAGGGTTCGAATCCTAGGGTTCGAATCTCTCATTGAGCCCAGGGTTCGAATCCCTCTCTTGAGCCCAGTGTTCGAATCCTCTCATTGAGCCAGGGTTCGAGAGCCCAGGGTTCGAATCCCTCTCATTGAGCCCAGTTCGAATCCCTCGAATCCCTCTCATTGAGCCCAGGCCCAGGGTTCGAATCCCTCTCATTGAGCCCAGTGTTCGTTCGAATCCCTCTCATTGAGCCCAGTGTTCGAATCCCTCTCATTGAGCCCAGGGTTCGAATCCCTCTCATTGAGCCCAGTGTTCGAATCCCTCTCATTGAGCCCAGTGTTCGAATCCCTCTCATTGAGCCCAGGGTTCGAATCCCTCTCATTGAGCCCAGTGTTCGAATCCCTCTCATTGAGCCCAGGGTTCGAATCCCTCTCATTGAGCCCAGGGTTCGAATCCCTCTCATTGAGCCCAGGGTTCGAACCGGGTTCTCTCGCACAAAGGCCAGACTGCTAACCACGTGACCACAAGAGAGCAGGTAAACCGAGGTAGACGTAGAGGAGGAGGAGGGATACTTTTGAAAGGCGATGAGTCACAATAACGGGGCTAAAGTATGTTGACCAGACCACACACTAGAAGGTGAAGGGACGACGACGTTTCGGTCCGTCCTGGACCATTCTCAAGTCGATTGTGATTTGAATCGACTTGAATCGACTCAAGACTTAAGCAAACTCTTACTTCCTCTCAAGCTGTGGATTCCTCTGGAGGCTAGTTGGATTCTGCTGGATTACTGAACTAGTCAGCAGCTAAACTAGCTGTCTCCTGCACTATCCATCTCCTACACTATCCATCTCCTACACTTGTCTCACACACACACACACACTACAACAGACTTTATTCATGGGTATTGTTGAAGCTATTAAAAAAGTGTCTTCATATGTAATAAAGTTACACACCCGGCTATCAACACACCCACGACAAAGACAGGTGTTTTACACCATGAGACGCAAACATCTGCCTCGCGCTTCGACGACAAAGCAATAGAGACCTTAAAGCAATCCAACAGTTTTTCGACAGTTCATTAAAAGTTCTGGTTTTTGCTTTTGGGAAAGGATTTTTGTTCTTCAAAGGAATGAATGTTTTTTTTCTGGGGAAATGAGGATACGTGCGACGGGGGAGTGGAAGAATGATGGGGATGTATACTGATAGGAATATAGGTATATGTATACTGATAATATACTGATAGAGATATACTAGTTCTCAGTATATATACACAGGAAGGTGTACCGTAGTTCTCAGTGTAAATACACATAAAGAAAAGACCTTAGTTCTCAATGTATATGTATATATATATATATATATATATATATATAATATATATATATTATATATAGAGAGAGAGAGGAGAGAGAGAGAGAGGAGAGAGAGAGAGAGAGGAGAGAGAGACGAGAGAGAGAGAGAGGAGCGAGATAAAGAAGGAATAATACATTCATTCTGAAGATGTATTAATATTCGAAAGTGCTTAAGGAAATTCCTGTTTCAATTCTTCCTCCGTGGTCTGACACTGTCACATATATATATATATATATATATATATATATATATCAATATAAATAAAATATGGAAATGTTCTTCTGTGAATAATCGCTAATCTCCGAAAGTTCTTCACCGATTGCTTTGAACTTTTCACACAGCGTTCCATTCACATCAGAGCGGGTTTTTATATACATACTATATAGATGTCACGTCTGGGACGGTAAAAAACATGCTTTTTCTGAAAAACCTGTGTTTTTCATGTGAAGGAAATCTTCGAAACCTCTTTACCGATTGCTTTGAAATTTTGACACAACGTTGCATTCGAATAGGCGCGTCTTTTTATATACCTACTATATACATGCCTCACCTGTGACAGGAAAAAACTTGCTTTTTTGAAAAACAGCGCCATCTGTTGGACGTAAGAACAACACACGCTGTAATCTCCAAAAGTTCTTCACCGATTGCGTTGAAATTTTGACACAACGTTCCAGTCGAATACGCACGTGTTTTTATATGCCTACTATATAGATGCCATCCCTGTGACAGGTAAAAACATGCGTTTTTTGAACAACAGCGCCATCTGTTACACTTAAGACCAACACACGCTATTCTAAATATGTTACGATTCCATTTCAATGTTTGTGATTTCATTTATATTGAATTTTCATAGATTTTGATTTATTTTCATTTTGATTTAATTATTTTGTGTGACATTGCGTTGGAATTGAGCTGTGTTGTTTACCATACCGTTCATTTCGTGGAATTGAGCTGTGTTGTTTACCATACCGTTCATTTCGTGGAATTGAGCTGTGTTGTTTACCATACCGTTCATTTCGTGGAATTGAGCTGTGTTGTTTACCATACCGTTCATTTCGTGAGTATAGTTTATTTTTTTATTTTTTCAATGTTTTTCATTTCTGTTTTTCTTATATTTCAGTGATGGGAACATCTGGGGCTTGATTCACGAAGCAGTTACGCAAGTATTTACGAACGTGTACACCTTTCCTCACTCTTTGACGGCTTTGGTTACATATATTAGACAGTTTACAAGCATGAAAACTTGCCAATCAGCTGTTGTTATTGTTATAAACAGCCTCCTGGTGCTTCGGAGCTCATTAACTGTTTAATAATTGTAAACAAAGCTGCCAAAGATTGAGAAAAGATGTACAGGTTCGTAAGTGCTTGCGTAACTGCTTCATGAATCTGGCCCCAGATCATTTGATGTTCCCAATTTTCAGATGGGAACATCAGATCATTTGATCATCAGACGAGGGAGTGGGGAATGGTGGGGAGGACGAGGGGACGGAGGAGGGGACGGAGGAGGGGAAGAATGGTGGGGGGGGGGGAGGACTGGGAGACAGGGAAAGATTGCAGAGCCACAGCAACGCGTGGCGGGGTACAGCTAGCATAAATATATGTATATATATATTTATATATATATATATATATATATATATATATATATATATATATATATATATATATATATATATATATATATATAAAACGTGTGTGTGTTTGTGTGTCAACAGAGGATTTGAAGAGACGGATTCGTGTAGCCAGAGTGTAAACAAAGCCACGTGGCCGCAGTTTAAACAAAGCCACGTGTCCACAGTACAAACAAAGACGTGTGGACCACAGTGTAAACAAAAGCCACGTGGCCCCCGTAGCGTAAACAAAGGCTCACACGTGACAACAAACTCACATGATATCTGTCGAGAGCGATAGCGGTGATGGAGATAGTGGAGACGAAGATAGACGTGGCCTGAAGAGTCCCGACGAGCCTGCAGGCGAAGGGCGAGTCCCCCAGCGGCCAGTACTGCGACAGGAGCTCCATCAGGGTCAGCGGCATGGTGATCAGACACAGCAGCAGGTCAGAAATGGCCAGGTTTATGATGAAGACGTTTCGTGCGGTGCGCATGGCGGGCTTTCTGATGACGGCCATCACTACGAGGGAGTTGCCCGTGGCTCCGAGGATTATGAGGATGACGTAGGCGGCCATGAGGGTGAAGAACGCCCCGTCACTCACGCCCCGGTTCTTCTCGAACTTGTAGAAAAAGTTGGGGTTGAGGCCGCTGGTGAGGTTCAACAGGTGGGAGAGGTTGTGCGAGAGGTCCGTTAGGTTGCCCTCTAAGGCCATCCAGTTGATGAGGTTGAAGTCTGCAGAGTCGAAGTTGATGGAGTCTACTGCCGCCATGCCCTTGGGTAGAGGTGGTGGAGGGACGTCCATCTTGCCCCCAGACCCCGCTTGCCATTCTAGAGTGTACATCACACACCTGTTCTCTATGTACACATGACAGGTGTGTACACGGAACACTCTTGGTGTACACACCGACTCGTGTGCAAGGGCAACTGTGTCTACACACGTCTACACACTAAAGCATGTACGTCACTTCTCTATATCTAGCGAATTTAAGTTTTGTTTTGATGTGCACATAAAAATTTCTGTTACGGAAACTCCTACACGAAGTAGTAAATGTTTACATATTGTCTCGGGTGGTTAAGCGGAGCCCAGGAGCTACAATATTCGCTTAATAAGGCGGTCGAGGCTTCACCTGGCTTGTCACACCGCTCCTGTGCCAGGTAAGTCCACTACGGGGCTCACCATAGCCCGTGCTACTTGAAACTTGTTCCGAGTAGCTGGATCTATAACAACATTCACCTGGCCCTATCTTCATAGGCCTTGGTTCAGGGTAGTTCACATGGTGCCTCCGGTGCCACTTGCTGCCTCCTGCTCCTCTTGGCACTCTCCTTACTGACTTACGAGTGTGACTTACGTTCAAGTTCACTGAAACATAACAAGATGTTCAAGTTCACTAATAGAACAAGGCGTTCAAGTTCACACCAGCAGAACAAGTTCTGTTCAAGTTCATATCAATAGAACAAGGCGTTCAAGTTCACACACCAGCAGAACAAGTTCATATCAAGTTCTGTTCAAGTTCATATCAATAGAACAAGGCGTTCAAGTTCACACACCAGCAGAACAAGTTCATATCAAGTTCTGTTCAAGTTCATATCAATAGAACAAGGCGTTCAAGTTCACACACCAGCAGAACAAGTTCACATCAAGTTCTGTTCAAGTTCATATCAATAGAACAAGGCGTTCAAGTTCACACACCAGCAGAACAAGTTCATATCAAGTTCTGTTCAAGTTCATATCAATAGAACAAGGCGTTCAAGTTCACACACCAGCAGAACAAGTTCATATCAATAGAACAAAGCGTTCATATTTACACCAGTAGAACAAGGCTGATTAGCGCAGTTCGTCAGTTAAACAGCTCTAACAAACATCTCGAGGAGTAGGTATTAAAATGTGTATTTTATCATCCACATATAAATATTTAGTTCAGAATCAACACCCACACTAAACACTTGTAAATAACAAGTGCTCATTATACATCCGGGACACCGATAAACAAATGAATCAAGCGAGACACTTTCAAAATGTGAAGTTTTTTGTTGTTGTTTTTCAGAGTGACATGGACCCCAGTGAGGTGGAGTGCTTGAGGCGGAGGACAGCACTCTCCCCCACCACCTCCAGCAACGTTCTGCCCGCCACTCGCGCGCGTCCTCCCTTATATAGCCTTCCCCCACTCCCTCCCCCCTCTCCCCTCATCTCACGAAAATCCCGCGCAAAAAAATTTAAATAGGCTACTGGAAACGGCAAACGGTAGTTCCTGGTTCCTGTAGGGACTGGTGGTGGTTCCAATAACCTCTAGAACCCATACTATAACCTCTAGAACCGCATATAAGCTCTGGAACCCGCATCATAAGCTCTGGAACCCGCAGCATAAGCTCTGGAACCCGCATCATAAGCTCTGGAACCCGCAGCATAAGCTCTGGAACCCACAGCATAAGCTCTGGAACCTACAGCATAAGCTCTGGAACCCACATCATAAGCTCTGGAACCTACAGCATAAGCTCTGGAACCCACAGCATAAGCTCTGGAACCTACAGCATAAGCTCTGGAACCTACAGCAATCTTCGTAAATTTCATAATGGGCCTGGAAGCCTCGTGAACTCCTGGTGCTGACGCCAGTGTGTGGAATATCTGGAATCCCATCCGGGTCACTGCTATCCCTGGGAGATCTGGAACCATACCGCCTTCCTCTGATCTTCCTCTGATCTTCCTCTAAGCCTCACGAATTTGCCACTAGAGCCGGGGTACCCGCCTTCGCTTGCTTCTAGTCTCCACGACACCCTTTGCTCTCCACTCTCCCAATATCTCCCTCTCTCTCCCCTCTCTCTACATTTCTCCTCCATGTCTCCTTTCCCCTCGCTTCAAATCTCCTCTCCCCCCTATATTTCCACCCTTTCCCTGCTCTCTCTCTCTCTCTCTCTCTCTCTCTCTCTCTCTCTCTCTCTCTCTCTCTCTCTCTCTCTCTCTCCTCTCTCTCTCTCTCTCCTCTCTCTCTCTCCTCTCTCTCTCTCTCTCTACTCATCCAGTTCAACTACTCATCAGTGTCCAACTCTTTCCCTCTAAGACTCTTATAGGTCGTGATCATGTCCTGTCGATCGCAACGAAATGTAATTTCGTTATAAAGTGAAGATGCCTAAGTTATGTGAGGAAGGTAGAGCAGTGTGACGGGGTTGTGGGGAGGGGTAACAGAAGCATGACAGTGTCAAAGTAACGAGGGTGACGCACCAATTCACGACTGTTACCTCCAGCCAATGGGAGAGCCGGTAAGTAAGGGCCCCCGGAGGCGCTCTACCCTGGAAACACAAACCGAAACTGTCTCTATTTTCCGCTTGTTACAACTTGTAATAAAGTTGTTACATCTTGGCTTAACGTGCTTATGACGTATTAGAACGTTGTTACAACTTGCTATATTGGTTGTTATAACTGGTTAGGAGGGCTTAAAACTTGTTCGAACGTTGCACCAACGTCGTAGTTTCGGTGTGTGTTTGTCGGGTAGTTCGTTAACCACAAACGTGGACGCTTGTTAGCGACGGAAGCCAGTGGCCGTCCTCTACCAAACTGGCAATTTCCCTCCAACTGGGTTGTTACTGCCACCTCGCTTTCTCGCCTCCTAGCCCCAGCTCCGAGGACTACAGGAAGGGTACAGACTACAGATCTGGGGACTACAGAAGCTTGAGAGAATACAGTGGTTGGAACTACATGAGGGGTGAGAGGACTAGAGACTTGGGAACTCTACGAGAGGGAGACACTACACAAGAGTGTAGACCACAAGAGGATCAGACAACAGGAAGAGGAACTGCAAGATCGTCTTCCAAACGAGCGCCCCCAAGGTTGTGGGGGGCTATTGGAGGCTGGGACTATCTGGGGGGGGGGAGGACTACATATAGAGGGGGACTACATTAATAGAGAGGGACTACATATAGACGGGGACTTCATATAGAGCACACAGAGATCACACTAACATGATGCATCAAATGAACAAATGGACGTAGGTTCGAATCCTCGTCACGGCCCTTGTGGATTTATTCATATAGACGGGGACTACATATAGACGGGGACTACATATAGACGGGGACTACATATAGACGGGGACTACATATAGACGGGGACTACATATAGACGGGGACTACATATAGACGGGGACTACATATAGACGGGGACTACATATAGACGGGGACTACATATAGACGGGGACTACATATAGAGGCGGACTACAGACGTGTACTCAAGAGCCGGGTGAGACACTAGAGCACCAAGGACTACAGACGTGTACTCAAGAGCCGGGTGAGACACTAGAGCACCAAGGACTACAGACGTGTACTCAAGAGCCGGGTGAGACACTAGAGCACCAAGGACTACAGACGTGTACTCAAGAGCCGGGTGAGACACTAGAGCACCAAGGACTACAGACATCCCAACAATAAGTACAGAGACAGAAACAATAAGAAGAACAAATGAGAAAAAGGAATTTATAGACCGGAAGAGTTCAGAAGCAACGAAGCCGTTCATCCCACTCAAGACGGAGGCGAACGAGAGAGGCAAAGTCAACCTCTGGTTCAATAGACAATTTTGAGGAGATAAGAACCGCGCCAGGGAGCCTTGAGAATAGTAACCTTGGACCAGACAGACAGACAGACAGACAGACAGACAGACAGACAGACAGACAGACAGACAGACAGACAGACAGACAGACAGACAGACAGAGGGTCTGAAGGAGGAGAGACAAGCGAGCAGACCAGAGTCTCGAGAGCAACTGAGAGGAAGTTTGAAGATTCCCAATTGTCTAGCGCCCCTTAAGTTGACATTTGCGGAGACAGGGTTATCTTGAGGTTATCTTGAGATGATTTCGGGGCTTTAGTGTCCCCGCGGCCCGGTCCTCGACCAGGCCTCCACCCCCAGGAAGCAGCCCGTGACAGCTGACTAACACACAGGTACCTATTTTACTGCTAGGTAACAGGGGCATAGGGTGAAAGAAACTCTGCCCATTGTTTCTCGCCGGCGCCCGGGATCGACCCCGGGACCACAGGATCACAAGTCCAACGTGCTGTCCGCTCGGCCGACCGGCTCCTTGCTCCCGAGTTGGGGCAAGATTCAGGAAGCAGTTGCGCAAGCACTTACGAACCTGTACATCTTTTCTCAATCTTTGGCGGCTTTGTTTACAATTATTAAACAGGTAATGAGCTCCGAAGCACCAGGAGGCTGTTTATAACAATAACAACAGTTGATTGGCAAGTTTTCCATGCTTGTAAACTGTTTAAAAAATATAAACAAAGCCGAAAAAGATTGAGAAAAGATGTACACGTTCGTAAGTACTCGCGTAAAGGCTTCGTGAATCTGGCCCCTGGAATATATATCCCGAACAACGCCCCGAGATAAAGCCACAGTCTCACGGACTGAGACAAGGTGGTGGGTGAGGAACTCGGACAAGATGTCAACAAAGAGTGAAGACAAAGTATGGGAGACGACAGAAAACACGATAAAGAATATAATAGTCACTTAAGCAACATCTGGAGAAACTAGACATAATAAAGATGCCGAGAACAGCCCCCTCCTCCCCCCCTTGGCTGCTGAAGGAGGCCCAACAGGTTCCGTCTCATCTGGTAATTAGACACTCGGTAATTATGAAAACACTTAAATTATTAGACACTAACTTTATATTATTCACTCCTGTGAGTGCCAGAGGTGGTCGTGGCACACTCCTGGAGGTGCAGGCAGACATTATTCACTCCTGTGAGTGCCAGAGGTGGTCGTGGCACACTCCTGGAGGTGCAGGCAGACATTATTCACTCCTGTGAGTGCCAGAGATGGTCATGGCACACTCCTGTGAGTGCCAGAGGTGGTCGTGGCACACTCCTGGAGGTGCAGGCAGACATTATTCACTCCTGTGAGTGCCAGAGATGGTCGTGGCACACTCCTGGAGGTGCAGGCAGACATTATTCACTCCTGTGAGTGCCAGAGGTGGTCGTGGCACACTCCTGGAGGTGCAGGCAGACATTATTCACTCCTGTGAGTGCCAGAGGTGGTCGTGGCACACTCCCGGAGGTGCAGGCATACATTATTCACTCCTGTGAGTACCAGAGATGGTCATGGCACACTCCTGTGAGTGCCAGAGGTGAAGAAGCTCAACGTGTAACCATACAAATACAGTATAATAATCAAGCTATTACATGTCAAGGTCTCTCTCTCTTGTAATTACAATTAGAGGTGAGGGGAATGGAGGAGAAGGAGAGAGAGAGAGAGTAAAGAGAGAGAGAGAGAGAGAGAGAGAGAGAGAGAGAGAGAGAGAGAGAGAGAGGAGAGAGAGGAGAGAGGAGAGAGAGAGAGAGAGAGAGAGAGAGAGAGAGAGAGAGAGAGAGAGAGAGAGAGAGTGTTGGAGCGGTTAGTCTCTCTTGCAGAGCAGTTTGTATCTGTTGTAGAGCGGTTATTCTCCGTTGTATATACATACGACTCATACACCACTTATATATATATATACAACTCGGATCTGTATGATGTATGACTGTCATACAGTGGGAATAGATTCACTTCTGAAATTCAGAAACTACTAACTGTTTAGTTTTGTAATTATTTGTATTAGTATATTTATATAATGGCGTCTCATGCGTGAAGCATTGATGTTTGCGTCCTGTT